GAGTATAGTCAAACATGAAGAAAAATTAAGTGAATTTGGTAACTTTAAGATTAATAGGAGGCTGGGCATGGTGGCACATACCTGTAATCCCAGCACTCGGGAGGCTGAGGCAGGAGGTTCGCCAACCTGAGTTACATAGTGAGTTCCAGGTCAGTCTCAACTACAAAGTGAGACCCTGTCTCAAAAAACAACAAAAAATTAATAGGAAAAGGGCAACAAAGACTGTGATGGGAAAACACACAGCATAAGGGTTATCAGCATACCCTCTAGGGCTGGGTAGGTCTCTGATTCTTACCTTCCTCTTGAAAATGAGCTTGTGTATTTCCTAAGGCTTTCAGGAGGGTTGTCCAAGGCTTGGTGTGCTAAGTGTCAAATGTGTAAGATTCACTCTGTAAACATTAGGTCTTCTTTTGTTTTTTTTCCAGCAACTGTAGGGCTTCATGGCAGAGGATTCAGTCAGAAAAGGTCTTTCCTGTGACATAGCATGCCATGTCCTTCATACTGAGAGCAGGGTCAAGTTGATAGAGCAAGGGAACAGTGTGCTTTTCTTAGAAATTAGTTTACCTTCTTGGTCCAGTACTTGTTCAGACTCAGCTTGAACCAGAATATGATGTGCTTCCCAGTATTTTTACCAGTGAACTGGCCAGTACCTAGATGGCTCCTCCCAGGCCCGTTTTGTAGGAAGTGTCCCTCCCTTACCATGCCTTACTTGTCTTTATAGTGCACTGTCAGTTTGGTGTTTATCTGTGGACGCTGCATGAAAGCAGGGTTTTGTTTTCTTTCCCCATCCCAGTGTCCCAATGCTGAGGACATTGCATGCCCCATGGGCGTAGGCGTTCAGTAAGTACTGTACTTACTGACTGAATGAGCTCAACAAGCATTTAGGGTGCATTAATTATATGCTGGGCCTGTCCTGCTCTCAGGGAGCTCACAGTGTGAGATGTAAACAAACAATGCCATTCAGATTAGAGTGCAGGGCACAGTGCAAGCAGGGTCTTTGCATCTTTTGGATGTCAGGGAAGAGGCAGCAGAGGCAACACTGAATGGGACTTGAAAGATGAGGACATATGCAAAGTGCTGAGGTCTCAGCTGGTATGGTGCATTGAGGAAAGGGCCCTGGAGCACAAGGCCAGTGCAGGCAGAGGGAGAATGGGGCCAAGTAAGGCCAGAACCTGAGGACTGTGGATGGCCTCTAAGAGTTTGAGCTCATTTCTCAAGGAAACAGTGAATGGTGAAGGAGGGTTGTGTGTGTGTGTCTGTGTGTGTGTGTGCGCGCACGCACGCGTGTGTGTTTGTGGTAAAATACATGTGCCATGAAACTTACCATTTAAATGTACAGTTCAGTGGTGTTGTACATTTACATTGTTCAGCAGTTGTTACTACCATCCATCTGCGGAACCTTTCCTCTTTTCAAACTGAAAATGCTGTTGGAGAGCTTTAAGCTAAGTTGTAAGGTGCTCCACTTAAGTTGGTGTTAGTGTTTGGAGTTGGAGAGAGGTGTTGAGTAGAACAGGCTCTGATCAGCAAAAACAGTTGTCAGAGAACCTGAGCATTGGCAAGATGCCATGGCACACACCAGCAATCTCAGCTACTTGGGAAGCTAAGTCAGGAAGATGGCAAATTCAATCCCAGCCTGGGCAATTAAGTGAGACCCTGTCTCAAAATTTTGAAAAGGGCTGAGAGCATAGCTCAGTGAGGCCCTGGGACTGCCCCCTCACCCCCAAGGACTTGCACATTGAAGCAGAGTCCTTATAGGAGGCTTCCTTAAGCCTTTCCAGGACCTCTTTTTCTGTGTCACACTATTCTGATTTGCCTGGCTTCTCTGGAGTGGGGTGCTGCATTGGGGGTGCTGGAGGGGTATGACTGTGGGCAGACAAATGGCTGGAGAGCTTGGCCTCAGGCTGGGCGTGACAGAGATGGAGGTGAAGCAAGCCCAGAGACTGTAGTCTGGGAGAGGAGGGTAGCCTGACCTGTCTGCACCCGAGGCTTCACAATTACAGAACACACTCAGGGTGTAGTTAAGTTCCTTGTGATGCCTGAGTCATCAGAAAGGAGTAAATAACATCAGGGATATAGACAGCTCCTGGGTGTACTTTGGATGAACTGTATGAAGTAGAAATGTAACTGGAGCCACAAGTGCAATTCTAAAATTTCTAGGAGCCACGTGGGAACATAAAAAGATACGGGTGAAATCAATTTTAATAATTTTAATAATATTTTATTTATGCAAGTGCAAGGACCCAAGATATATATATATATATTTTTTAAATTTCATTTAACTCATTATGTCTAAGCCATTTCAACATGTTAATATTAAAACACTTATCAGTGATATAGTTTAGATTTTTTTCTTGTATCCAAGTCAAATTTCAGAACATATTTTTCACATGTATCCACCTTAATTTGTGTTAAGTAAATTTCAAGTTCTCACAGCCACCTGTGGTTGAGGGCCATCAGATAGCCAGTGCAATTTCAGATTTTCAGATGAAGGGTTAAATCCCCGGCTGTGCAGGGAATACTGTTAGAATACTGTCCTAAGAATTAATTATTCAAGAGATTATAGATTGTTGTATGGTAGTAGTTTCACTTACTAACATTTGGGGAAGACTGTGTGGGTTTGAATCTCAGCTTTGTCATTTCCTAGCAATGCTATCTGACTTTATTTTTCTGTGCCTCAGTTTCCACATCTGTAAAATGAAGGTCCGTAGTACTGCTGGCCTCCCTGGGTTTTGTGGGGATTAGATGAGTTGCTGTACAAAGAACCTATAAGTACTAGTGTATGGTAAGCACCACTGAGCTGTGCTGTTCCTCCAGAGTACTGTATTTGTCTCCAAAATGTTAAATGGTTTTGATTCAGTACATTTCAAAGACATTCTTGGGAGAGTACTTAGTTTCAGATAGGCAGGTATAGAACAAGTTTTCACAGGTGAAGAAAAATGTTAAATTGTCATTTTGGGAGGATGCTTTCTAATTGATGTGTTTAGGTAACTAATTTTCTTGTTTGCTGCAACATTTGCGTCTGCCTAACTGCTGAAATAGTGTAATTAACAATTAAAAGATTTAGGATTATAATTAAAAATAAGAAAACTTTGAAGGGAAGATTTTTAATCAACATTTAATTGCTAGTACTGTTATAATTAGGCTACTTTTTCTGAAATACTTTATTAGTCTTACTGTGTCCGGAGAGACTTTCTAGTTCTAGCTTTTTTGTAATCAGTGTATTCTAGCACAGTTTATTATTGAGTTTTACTTTCTATTCTTTGTAAATAGGATAGAAAAGAATGGTGAAAGCCAAATCAGAGTGTAAAAGATTGCTGTTTAGTAACTGGAAGAGAGTGGAGAAGAGGTCCTGTGCTGCTGCACAGGGAAAAGCAGGTTGGACAAATAGCCGTGGCGTGGCATGGCTGCTTGACGCTTCAGTCTCTGCCACCACAGAAGACAGCCATTTGCCACCCGGCCTGCTGTCAGTCTGCTCTGTTCTGGAGCACAGCCACCCACTTTCTGGTTCCGCTCATGGCTCACTCCTTTCCTGCCGGCCTGTGTGCTACTTCCCTCAGGAAGCCCATCCTGACTCCATGAGCTCCACACTGTTGCTTCTGGTATTTCCAATTCTCCGCTCCAGGTTTAGTGAGGGTGAGAACTGGGACAGTTTTATTGACACTATGTGCCCTGAGCCAGGCTCCAGGCCAGGTTGGGCACAGCTAAGTTTTCCTAAGTGAAGGAATGAGCGATGTGGTAAGTTATCTAATTTGTGTTATATGCAAAGTCACTGTCGCTTACATTGTGGGTTTTGGCTCTTCCCTCATATTTTTCAGTATTTTGAAATAAGACTGCAAATCAATCCTGAGATCCGAGTTTTAGTCTCTTTTTGTGGTTATTTGCCTCTAGAATTGAACAAACACTCAGATGTGCTTGTTAATAGAGAATACCTTGTGATCCAGTTGATTTCCTGTCCTTTTAGGGAGTTGTTAGTAACTGACACTTATGTGGGGTAACTGGAATGGGAGAATGGCGTTTAGAAAACAATGGCAATGGTAACTGCTTGTGCTTTTGGTGGTAAAGTAGAAAGTAGTCATATTCCACGAATGAAATTAATGGAAAAGCAGACCTTATGTTTTTGATGCTGGGGATTGAACCTAGGGTCTTTACACTGAGCTATATACCTGGACCTTTTGTTTTTCTTTTTTTGTGGGGGAGGGACAAGTTCTCCCTGCATTCTCCTTGCAGTCCTCCTTCCTCAATTTTTTTCTTTTCTTTCTTTTTCTTTTTTCTTTTTCTTTCTTTCTCTCTTTCTTCCTTCCTTCCTTCCTTCCTTCCTTCCTTCGTTTCTTCCTTTCTTTCTTTCTTTTGTACCAGGGATCAAATTTACAATCTTGTACTTGTGAGGCAAGTTCAGTGCCACTGAGCTAAATTGTTGACACCTTCCTCAATTTCTGAGTCCTGCGATTATCGGCACCATCATGCCTGGTGAACTTTTGTGTTTTGCCACCTTTTTTAGTATTGAATGAAGTCTGTTAATCTGAAGCTTTATGGTTGACAATACAATAGAAGAATCTCTAGAAGTTTATGAGGTACTGGCCAAGATTCAAAGAAATCTGGTGCTAGAAATCACCTAAACCAAAACTCTGCAGTACCACTGAGTTGGCAGGACAGGACATAACCTTGGAAATTTTCAGTTTTAGAGGCTCAGACATTTAGATCTTTGTAAAATACGCTACCTTTATATTCAATACTTCACCCCAGGTAGTACCTAGCATACTCTAAATTTAAATGTTTTACTTTTGCTTAGAAATTTTCACTGTATTTCTTATGGTTTGCAGCTTTTTTAGGTTGTCATGAAACCAGTTTGTGATCTCTGTCACTATCAAAGGAAGAGGCAGAAAGACAGCTAAGGTCCTCTGCAGTGCTGCCTTCTCGGTGTGTGAGAGTGGGACTGGGCTCTCCATGGGAAAGTAGTCAGGTGTACCTTGCGGATGACCCTGAGATCCAGGAAGGCCAAAAGGCCCTGACAGAGTATGAGGCAGCTCTGTGCTGCATTCCAGGTGGGTAGTTTGAACAAGTGCCTGTGTGAGTTCCAGCTAGATGACAGCGCACTGAGGAAGATGCGAATGACCCCATGGTGAAGATAGATGTAACACCCCAAAAGAGACAGACAACAAGTGCTTATCACTTCTATTATATGTCCCCACAGTGGTAGGTACTGAGGTTTAGAGATCCTAATCCTACCTTTAAGGCCTCTACAGTCAGTCATAGTTGGCAGAGATGCGCAAAGCAGATATAGTGTGGGAGTATTTGAGAATGCAGTCTTTGGAATCTGGTACTGCTGGTCCCAGGCCTGGCTCTGTCACTCACTAGCTATGTGACCTTAGACAAATTACACAACCTTTTGGAACTTATTTCCTCACATGTAAAACAAAAGTAATAATGCCTGTATTAAATAAATTATGGTGCAGTCACGTAGAGAAATAATATATAGCCTAAAAAGAATGCAGCAGAAGTATGTGCAATATTGTGGGAAAGTGTCCCAAATGTATTATTGTTAGCTAAAAAACCCAGCATTTGGGCTAGGGATTTAGCTCAGTGGTTCTGCCACCTGCCTCGCATATGCAGGGTCCCAAGTTCGATCCCCAGTACAAAACAAAACAAAACAAAACCAAAACAAACCCCACAAAACAACCCAGCATTCTACATACTGTGGCCTCACTGTGAAAAAGAAGAAAAGCATTCTGTGGTATAGAAAAAGCTATGAAGGACGTGTACTAGTTATAAGTATGGGTCATAGGGCTTTGTCTCTTTATTTCCTCTATCGTTTGACACTTAAGAAAAACATAGTTTCCAGGGTTTCTGGCAGGGTTGAAAGATAATTACATGTGGAGAAAGCCCTCTGCTTGTCCTGGGTCTGACACACAGGGTGCTGTGGGTGGCCACTGAGGAGAAAGAGTGCTAGATTGCACAGTCCTTAGTGATGAAAATTGGATTGTGAAATTTTTAATTTCCAAAGTGAGTTGATTCCCTGGGTATGGGGTCTTGATTGTTGGCTGGGGACCGGAGTCCATGAGCTTTGGCTGGCCTCGCAGAGGAGGCTGGACCAGAGCCCCCTTTTTGGAGAATAACATTGTCCATCTCACCTGGCGGTGTGAGGAAGAGAGTGCTGACCAGGACAAGGCCTGGAGGCCCTCATGGGCAGCTCGAGAGTCCTCTCTGGCCTCAGCCTGGTCCTCAGCGAGGCGCCAGGCCCCTCTTGAACCTGCTGTCTGTCTCAAATGGGTCTGATGTGACTACTCATCCACTTGCATGTTACTATTCTGTTCCTGTCTCATTAATGCAAGTTTGGGAGATAATTTTTTGAGGAGGAATTGATGAGTCTTCTTTTACAAGGTTTTACTTTTCACATGCTGGTGAAGTAGACAGTGGGAATGAATCTTCATGAAAAGAGAAATTTATTCTGTGGGGTTTTGCTGCTTTCTTTTAGACCTGTTTTTTTGTTTGTTTGTTTTAAAAACATTTGTTGCTTTGCCCTCGTCTCTTGGGAGGATTCTGTGGTGGATGGGACAATGTAGCTTTTTCATAGACATAATTTGTACTGGATTACTCTACAGCCAGATGTGTAAGGGAAGGTCTTGTTTTGACTTGTCTTGGCAGTCTGTTCTGTTAGCTCCTTTTTTCTCATTCAAAAGTGATATATTTGGTTCTTAATAATATGGTCACCTCAATGTTATCCCAATTAAATGCCATGGACTTATTTATTCATTTTTGTTGGTTTGGTTTTTATAGACTAGTCTTGCTCTGTAGCTCAGGCTGACCTCAAACTTGTGAAACTTCTGCCTCAGTCTCTCTCTTTTTTTTTTTGGTACTGGAGACGCAACTCGAAACCTTGAGCTTGTTTGTCAGGCAGCGCTACCCCTGAGCTAAATCCCTGGCCCTACCTCAGCCTCTTTGCTGAAACTAAGGTGGGTGTCACCATGCCCAGTCCCGGATCTTTTTTTTTGGTCCTGGGGATCAAACTCGGGTCCTTGCGCTTGCAAGGCAGGCCACTGAACCGCTGAGCTAAATCCCTGGTCCTCGGATCTATTTATTTTTAACAAAATGTTGTCACTAGCTTACATTTTCTAGGGTCCCATTGGTATTTATGGAGCCCTCATATTTTCAAATCATAATCTTTATGATCAGTTACCCTTTATAATTTGTGCATGACTTAGGTGTTCCTTTGTCAATTTTGATTCATGGTTTTCTTTTGACTTAATTTCAGTTCATTTCTACAATTTTTAAATTACTGGGGGAGTTTCCCAACTTTTTTAATCATCAAATTATTGTCAAGTACTAAAATAAAAAAGGAGGGGGAGGGAATTAAGTTTGAAGATACTGTGTGTCAGGTTTTATGCTAGACATTTTATAGACTTTCTCATTGAATAGCAAGTAAACATTGTAACTAGATAACTGCTAGGAGCAAGTCAGGTGCTGGACTGAGCAGAGACCAGGATTTCAGACTTGACTTTTTTTTTTTTTTTTTTTTTTTTTTTTTTTTTTTTTTGGTACTGGTGATGGAACTCAAGACCTTGTGCTTGTGAGGCAGGCATGGTGCCACTGGAGACTTGATTTTGTTATTAACATTTATTACCCTTGATAGAATATACCCTGTCCTGGCCTTCTGCTTTCTCATCTATAAAATGGGGAAAGAATGTTGGTTAGATTAGGTTCTAGTCTGGCTTCAAAATTTTATGACTGATCTTTTTTTGATAGTTTCAACTTTAAATTCCTAACACATCCCATTTAATTGAATTGAATACTTTTTAAAGCATTAAGAAGGTCACTTGCTTATCCCTAATTCAATTGTTCAACATGTATGTATATTATCAGTTCTTCTTTACCCCAAACCCTTTAGTGATTTTTTAAAAAAATTAATGAATCACCTGCATACTGTAGTCTCGGATTTGCAGCTTAAAGCAGTGCTTTTCTTACAGGACTGACTGGTATGAATGTTACCACAGGGGACATGACATTTTCTTTCTTTGTTAAAATATGGATCCTTATGAGAGCACCCGGAGTGCTGAGCCAATAATAACATGAGAGCTATTTTGAGACCAGAGGGCGAAAAGGCAGTTGTGTAGTGTGCAGAAAAACAGAGAGACGGAAGGTGCTCTGCCAGCCTTAGCCCTGTTCACCCTGTCTGTGTGGAAGCAGCTGAGCTTTCGCCTTTGTGGAGCCGCACTGCCCTGTGTTTGCTGAGCAGGGGCCCTGGCCTTGCCTGGTGGGGAAGGAAGGGCGTCCCCCTGGTGTGGCAGGCTGCCTCTGCACTGGCTGGGAGCCCAGCCAGCATTGTTACTGTCCTCCCCTTCCCGCCCCTTCCTGTCACTAAGCTCAGTACCTACTGGCAGGAAGGGAACCAGTCACATCACAGCCTCAGAGGGACTTCAGTGAAGGGGTTCACCTTCCCAGCCTGTCACCCTGGGGTTCACCTGTGCCTCCTCCATGAGGAGAGGTGGCACCTGGGTGAACACTGAACAGTTGTACATCTCGGGTTTCTCTTTGTAAAATGATAATCATTGCTGAGTTAAATTCATTTTGGCTGTGAGTAGCAGAAACCAGCTCTTGCTTTATTTATAACGCCTAGGAGAGAGGAGGTTTCTTAGAGGGACACTGGAGGGAGAGCTGACCTCCCTGGTCTTCAGGTAGGACAGGAAAGGGCTGGCACTGGGGTCTGTGGCAGCAAATCTGGCAGGGCCTTCTCTAGGTAAATCTCTTCCCTAGCCACCAATGTCTGCGCCATAGGCAGATGTCACAGGAACCTCACTGTCTTCCCGGGTCTGGCACACTATTTTAGGGACACTAACTCTTGCCTGGATTCTTCTCTTTGCTCCTGTGGGATCTTCATATTTTCTGCTTGGCCCTGCTCTGTCTCAGCAAAGCAGCTGTGTGAGCCTGGAAGTTCTTCTGTCAGAAGTGCCACTTAGGGGAAACCTTCCGGGGACCTCCAGTCTTCTTTGAGAAGAAGCCTATGCCCTTTTCTGCTGTTGATTTCTCTGCTCCTGCAAAGCTGGACCTCTAATGGGTCTTGTTAGGTGTCCATTCTGCCTCAGGGCCTTTGCACTTGTTTTTTGCCATAGTGCTCCTCTTTCAAGGTGTCTTCAAAGATCACTCTGTTACCTTCTTCAGTGAGGCTTTTTCTAACACCACTTCTAAAATTGAAATCATCCCATTCCCATTCTCCTTTGTCTGCTGTATGTTTCTCCGTGGTCTCCACCATCTACTCTCGTCTGTGTTTTCCTTACTTGGTGTCTTTCCTATTTTGTAATAAAAATTCTGCAAGGACAGGAACCTTGTCTGCATCATTAGTGCTGAGTCCCAGCACATAACAGGCACGTAGGGTCCTTGTAGAGTGCAGAACACTGTGTGTCTTTGTTGAGACAGCAGTGGTGGGAGGGAATAGCTGTAATGTGAAATAAGCATGGGGCCTGGGAACGAGTCCTGGGAGCAGGGTGGGGAAGTCCTGCGGAAGCTTGTGACTGCTTCATGCTGCAGGTGCTAGGGAAGCGTCCATTCTTCTTTCTCCATCAAAATACATGACTACCCCTAAACATCCAGAAATGTAACTATTTGTGGTATTGCTTGTTATTTGGAAGAGTAGAAATTATAGCTATGTAATAATATGAAACTTACATGCAACCTAATGTTTTCCCAAGTGGTGGAATACATAATTATTACCTTAAAAGTAGTGGTGATGAAATTTTGCAAATATATATGTAGATCTTTATGTGGGCCCTTTTGGTCCCTGAGTAGACCTAAAACTCAGGAGCTAGGTCTGATTCTAGGAGAGGTCAATTGACAGAATGGGGAGAAGATTTCATCTCTTATTTCTTTTCTTTTATAGGAAGCTTGCCTGGAGACAATCTGGACTGTCGTACATTCATCTTTAGATTTTGTTTTTGTTTGTTTGTTGAGACAGGGTCTCACTATGTAGTTGAAACTGCCCTAGAACTCACTATGTAGCCCAGGCTGGTCTCAAACTCACAGTGATCCTCCTGCTTTAGCCTTCGGAGTGCTG